AGTCCCGATCCGTAACTCTTTTTATTTTTCGTTTTTGTCTTCATTGTACTGAAATGCTTCATTATTGCAAACATTTTAAGATATACTTATTATTCTTAACATCTTAACAGATACTCTGACCCATAACCATCGTAAAACGCTACGACCGGAAGTAGACACCTTTCCCGCATGCGGGGTACCGATCGGGTTTCCGGTACGGATCGGGTAGTGACAGAGCCACAAAGTTTAACGTATCCCACCCAGTCATGCTGATCCGCTGCCCGCTCACCTTTATATTAAGGCAGGGGAGCAAAAATGTGTTAGCTTCAGTTATTGAAATCACGTTTTAAAATGATTTTTATTCCTCACATGCAGAAAAAAGGTGAAAGCTGTCAATTCTTCATTTGATGTGACAACAGCTGACAGAAAAGCAATAGATGAGTTTCCATTACACATCCACCACGTTTGTGACATGATTTAAGCGTAAAATTGCGATACGGGTTTGAGTGATGTTTTACATAGGCTCTTGTACTTACTACACATCATATTTCAGTCTTTTGACAAAGCTGGAGTACATTGACACGAACTCAAGATTGGCTGTCAAGTCCTGTTCTTAACACGCTGTGTTTCAGGGCTTTTTTCTCTTAAGCCAACATCTCTGATATATTGTTTATCACCTTAAGCGTTCTTTTCGACTCGAGAGAGAAACAGGCTGCAAAAATGAAATACAGCCGAAACCCATCATATTTGAAAGCCTTTACTTTTTCATGTCTATTGGTCACATGAGAAAGTTTGCTGTCAAAAAGTGCAAGTGGAGGAAAAAAGATCCTTCCCTGATGATTTTATGCTCCCAAGCAAATAAAAGTCTTTTAGTGATAGGCCAGGGCAGCAGCCCTCATCCATACAGATCCTTTGTTTACCCCGAGCTCCTCACCGAGCACCTTCACAAACAGGCCTTTCACCTGATTGGCTCACAAACGGTGGATCTGGCAATGCAAGCTGACATTTATCTTACTTTGTAAAATAGCACAGGAGCATTACGAGGCAGAAAAAGCAGAATGCTAATCCCCCGCTACTGTAGCTTTGCGTTTAAATCACACTAAGATAATTGCGCTGGTAATTAATTGATGAATCATTCAGCAGGGTACAATGAACTTAGCCTTTCTTGACCAATTTACTCGGTGGCTTTAAGTAAACAGCTGCCGCAATGCCGTGTCACACAATGCCTCATGAAGTAATAAAGTGCTTCATAATTCCAAACAACTGCACATATGGATCGCTGGACTTGTCCAGGAGCCAAACGAATTAGTGCATTAGAAGTGGCGGCGGCGGCGTGCTTTATTTTCTTTTGCAACTGTGAATAAAGCTCATTAAGGAAACGCGTCCTTCGGAAACAAAGCCATCAACCACGTTGCATGAACAGTGACGTTTAAAGCACTATAAGGCGACTGAAACTGTAGTTTTTATTCAGCCGTGATTCAGAGTCTGCAGAGAAGCATCTGAAAATCATTTTTAGCTCTGCGCCAGCTTTCTTTGATATCTGACATGACATAGCTGCAGGAAGCTGCTCTCGCCAAAAAGACACGCAGTATGTAGAGCGCTATAGTTTATGCAGGTAGTTCACTTTTAGTTTAAATATGGCTTTTGGCATTGTTCGTATTCGCCGAGCCACCATATTGATTTCTTTTCTATTTTTCCTCCCCCCTTCCCCTTCCCCCCGGCCCCCCCTTGACCCCCTTCCCTTTCTTAAGGTTTTTTTTTCAGCCTCCCAATAGCCTTGCCTTCGATTGTCAGCACTGGAAAGTGGATTAAATTACACTCATGTTGTCATGCTTGTTGTTCTTTTTCATTTTGGATAGAAAAATGAGCATTGCAAGTAAACCGCAAGTCTCCAGTGATAGACTCTGCAGTGTCGGTATCGCAGTGAAACACGCGACAGCAGCAGAGGAGACAAAGATGGTTAAAAATGCATTTATTTGACTGTTTATGTTAACGTGACATCAGCCTTTAAAGGTTGTTCTTGTGTCGGCGTGCTTATGTAGATGGCCACAGGGGGAAACAAGGCTCCAGACATTTAAGCTGACAAACTAGACTTTAATAACAAATATTGATTTCTCTTTTTTTTTTAGCAGCAGTTAAGGCACGTGGATGACATACTAACACTATTAGCTCCCTGCTGCGGTTTAGATCTGAAACGTTCACTCGGCATACTGATGTATGTCAGAGATGCAGTCTAGTCTTTGCTTTTACTCTTTAGATTTCTTATTTATATTGATGAAAAGTTACATCTTCTGAATAAAATAAGAGAACGCGATGTTTGAAGACGCTTCCTTTGTGTGTATCCACCTCTGATCTCTTTTGTCTCCTGCCTCCCTCTTCCTCTAAGTCGCTGTAGTTCCCTGCTTCGATCCGCACTGATAGAGCTCCTTCTCCTTCTCTTCTCCCTCAGGGTTCAGTCGAGCTGCCCTGCCATTTGGCTTAGTGCGGAGAGAGCTGTCTTGTGAGGGTTACCCCATTGATTTGCGGTGTCCAGGAAGTGATGTCATTATGATCGAAAGCGCCAACTATGGCCGAACGGACGACAAGATCTGCGATGCCGACCCTTTCCAGATGGAGAACATAAACTGCTATCTTCCAGACGCCTACAAGATCATGTCACAAAGGTAACACTGCAGACACCTCAGTAGTAATAATACATGTAAAGCTACTTTCTGCTGTCACAGAAGTGAAACGATTGATAAGCATGATAACATTTTCTTTGTTGTGGACCGCTGTTGATCATTTTGCATGCTTGCCCCTGTTGCATCCTGTGCTGAGAACAAAAATCCTCCGTATCCCTCGGCTTTGGAGTAAAAGTCACCCAGAACAAAAACAGTGTTGCTGTCAGTTGCATAAAAACAGAAAAACAGAATATGAGTGTGTAATAAGATTGCACTACTGAGACAGACGAAACCGAGCAGAGGAGAATTAGGAATTTCATCAGAACTTGGAATTTTAAATCAATTTGGGCAAACAGCCCAGGGAGAGCAGATTAAAACAGAAACACAGCCAAAGTCACAGAGTACAGTAACAAAGCTTCCCATCCAAACTGCTGCCCGTTGTCATTTCTACTCTTATATACATTTAATATTTGCATTTATGTGATCAAATAAATAAATATTTAAAAATAAATAAAAATGAAAAAGATTTCTACAGTATAATGTGTATTACTTCTCTAAAACTTCTCTACTGTCTGAATTTCCTAAACTTCCTAAATCACACTGATCTATGTGTAAATTCCTTCTGGTAAGTTTAAGAGCAGGCTGTTAGCGTGATTCAAAGATGCTCCATAGCTGATATTCACACTCTGGTTGATAGCGTTAACTTTGGCACCCAGTATTGCTTTAGATTGGCACCGAAAAATTGTGTCCGAATTGAATAAATGCACTCAAAGAAAAGTGCATGGATACAGTTATGTTCCTGCAGCCGACCTTATTGCAAATGTATCTGAAGTTTTCCATTCAGACCGCAAAGTTTGGGGTTGACACTTTTAAGATGAAATATACAATTCAGCTCACTAAGTTTTGCATTTGTCAATTCACCACCAACTGCCAAAGTCTGATGGCATAAAGTCATGTGTTAACCATTTAGCCGTTCCAAGAACAACAGCGGTGTGGTCTGAGGGAGGGAAGTTTCTCCACTCCTGTTCATTTATTTGTAACACTAGAAGAACACGAGAACATCTGAGGGCGGTCGTTAATGTTTCCGAGGAAACGAAAGGCAACACGCACCAAAGCTGTTTTGAGCCG